TGAAATAGAATTCATAGCCATGTTGTATTCCTAATTCTTTCATCAATAACTCACATGCAAGACCTACTAGCCAAGTGCTCTCAAACCCAAGAGGCTTATTCTAGCCGATTCCGTCACCCCCCATTTGCCCGTATTCGAAGGCAAGTATTATTTTTACCCTTTACCCCCTATGTGACTCCTCACGAATGTTTAACACCGCTACAGACAACATCGCATAAGGCCCCAGAGGAGACCGTGACACCGCGCGCCCTAGTCGATTCGTCCTGTTGTCGCACTGTCACCCACCCACGCCCAAACAAACTCAGATCACAAACTAACCGAGACTCATTCCCCGCAAAAAAGCCTCCACATCAGAAGGATTTGATTTTACCCGGATATGTGGTAAAAACTAATGTACATACACAAACGGGATAGCATGATTGCAGTGGCTCACGGCGGCGGCAATGGTAGCACGATCGAGTCTTCACACAGTTAGCATAGGACAGAGCAGTAGCAGTGGTGGCGAATAGCAGTGACAGCACTGACGGCATTAGTAACAATGGGAATTGAGGTGAGACCAATAGCGAAAAAGAATAAGTGTATGAACGGGGAGAGGGAACCTCAAAGATGGGGTCTATTATACACAATGGAACCAGCTCAATCTCTACAAGCATACGCACACTCAAGGAGGGAGAAGAGAAACAGCGGAAAACCACACATGTCCAGCGAGACAGGTATTTCCGACTCTAAAACCACTGCCGTAAAGGGTTCGCGCATGCACACGAACGCATCCGCTTTCTGTTTCCCTTTTAAGGAGGTCGTTAGAACAAGGAGTGAAAAGTAGAGCATCATCGTTTCGGTGTGAGAAAGAGAAGACCATGTACAAAAGGAGAACAAATGGAGGTAGGGTGCCTGCACCGCGCGTGTGCAATGTTTGTGAAGGGGCGCAGTAACAGTAGCAATGCTACAAATAATGAGAGCACTGATGGTAAGAACGGATTCGTTTATGTTGCAGGAAGAGAAGGATGAGATGTACACATATGATGCAGGAGGATGCCGAAATAGGTAAGGGTGTGTGCGTTCACGCGCGCGCAGGAGTAAACATGCATTCTAGAAGACAACTTAAAAGATGCCTTTAAAGAAGACGAAGAAAAAGGTGGGGAATAGAGCGGGAACGTGAGTGAATATAGACAGATACACAGAGGTAGTGATTGCTGTTGTCGGAGACTTAAACGTTGCTGCTGCATTTGAGAGGTGGTGGAAAGACGGCAGAAGGGAGCAGGTAGGAGGCTGGTTGGGTGGATCGAACTCGTTCACCGCGCACACATACGCAGTGGACACGGGCAAACGAGAAGTTGGAGGGTGCACACACCACACGGCTTCTATCGCCGTAGATCCAGTACAACCACCTAGAGGCAACACATGAAATGTAAACCAACCCAATGATGTGCACAACAGATTGTCAATTAAGTCTACAGCCGACGGATTTGAAGGCGCTTTTTAGTAGCAAGATAAGAACACTAGATTGAACCTACGGAGCCATCAGAGGCACTGGCCCCCACTTTGTCCCCTCGGGAATTCCAACAGACCTCGAAGATGCCACCCGTGCCTCGGTATGTATTGATAGGCTCACCGGTCTGGAATGGATCAAGAGTGCTCAAAATGCTGTACCAAAAAAAGTAGACATTATTAATAGCGAGGGTAAGGAGATGCCGAATTCTACCGCCAAGACCCATCAATGCAAGGTGTTGCATCAGGTGGTGTTAAGCTACACGTGAAACCTTACCGAACACAGACAAGCATAAATGCATGCACATACGTAAACATACGAGCACAAATAGCTAAGCGCATGCGTGTCAATGGTTGTATATTCAAGAACGCAAACTACCTCAGATGCCGTTGCATTAGAGCTGAAGGCTACCAGTAAAATGCGAAGTCACGTCAAAAACAACCTGCGTTAACCCTTACTAGGAATACGTCGACCTTCATTCACCGGTATCTCAACAAAGATTTTACTAAAAGAAGCGACTAATTGCTTTAGGAAGGCATCTCCGATGCAGCCATGGTAATCACATTAACAGTTTGATAGATACTTAGTGATTTGAAGTATTGCACTGCGACTAGCAACACACATTAACTTAGAGTGAAACTAAAGTCTACATTTTTCACGCCATGCTAAAAAAGTAAAGCGCTCAACTTATCAAAGGTGGAAGCGGTGAAGTATTGGTATAGATACCCATCCTCAGCCTAATTTGTTAGCAGAATAACGCTGGCCACCAGATTCTGAATCACGCTCTTTTTAGGCTTAACTTAGTTACACTTGATCAGAGTGATTGTGGATATCACCACGAATGGTAGTAAGTCTGTCTGTGCGAGGTGAGCTATTTGGATGGGCAAGAACCAGCAGGATAAACGCCAAAGCAGTAAGAAAAAAGGATAGCATCAGATTCGATTGTCCTAAAACAGGGGCCGAGCGAAGGAAAATCCCACGGGAAGAGTTGTGAAGCCGTGCAGACGCACACATGCAAGAGAGCCTAGTGGGGTAGAGGCCCTCAAAAGGTGCATGACTAACGGGCACGGTGAATGACGCATAGTGTGCGTAAGATGATTTATATGTATACGTATACATACATATTCAAAGAGAGAAAAGGGTAATGGTGCAGAGGGCGCGCATTCCAGAGCAAGGAGAGAACAGACCAACCGGTTAGGCAAGCAGATGAAAATGATGCTGGTCACCTCTTAACACGGATAAGCGAAAAAGGGGTGCCAGGATGAAGGGAGAAGGCGGATGACTCACATCGACGTTCCAGATATGGACACACTGGTCGAAGGAGCCAGTGGCGAGGTATCGTCCGTCGGGACTGAAGGCCACGCTGTAGACGGGCTCCGTGTGTCGCTGCAACGTCTGCCGACACGTCCCCGTAGTCACATCCCACAGGCGCACAGTCGAGTCGAAGCTTGCGCTGCAACGGA